TAATGGTGGCTTGTGGTCTGCAACTTTCATAGGCCTGTTTAATAGTAATTTTAACTACCTCATCATGATCTGGTAGCATGTCTTCAAAAATTTCTTCAGCCTTTAAGTGAATTCTGCAAATTCTCTTTCTAGTAGGAGAATCTGTGAGTTTTTCCTCATAATTATAGCTGTCATACTTGTTTCTCATGAAAGTGGCCCACTTGCTATCTGAGTATCTGAAATTCCACCATAGCTTAATCGAGTAGGCCTCCTGTAAGTCTCCCAGATCCCTGATTCCTAGTCCTCCTTCATTAGTGGGAAGACAAATGTCTTTCCAGTTTTTCCAGTGATGTTTAGGAATCCCTTGATTTTGGCCCCAGAAGAAGTTACTCATCATTCCATGAAGAGTATTAATTATGGATTTAGGGAGGGAATGAACTGAGATAATGTGTAAAGGAATAGAAGAGAGAACATGCTTGATAAGTATTAATCTCCCCATTGGATTTAGTGTCTTGCTATACCAACTGTCAAGGTACTTGGAGAAGTGTTTTAACAGATCAGTACAGTCAGCTTTCCTAAGAATACCCTTACAAATAGGAGCCCCTAAGTAAGTGAATGGTAGTTTGCTGAACTTCATATCCAATATGTTTTCCATCTTGACAATATTTCTTTGCTTTATTCCCTTCCCACAATAAAACTTGCTCTTGCTGAGATTAATCTCCTGACCAGAGCCCTTGAGGTAAGTCCCTAACAGAGCTCTCAGCTTTAGCAAGTTATTGGTATTCCCATTACAAAAAATAATGATGTCATCTGCAAAAGCAAGGTGGCTGATGAGTAGATCCCTGCCTGTATTATAATTTTGGATTTTAGAGGATGCCATTTCTGTTTTCAACATTCTTGAGAGCCCCTCACTAGCAATAATGAATAGCAAAGGGGATAGTGGATCGCCTTGTTTAACTCATCTGCTCATACGAAAGAAACCTTTAGGGCTCCCATTAATCATTATGGAGATGTGTGTACCCCTGAGGTTAGCTAGGAGAAGTCCCAGATTGTGTTCTGAAAATCCAAGTTTCTTTAAGATCCCCTGGATGTAGTCCCACTCCAAGTTGTCAAAAGCCTTGGCCATATCTAATTTGATAATGACATTGCCTCCTCTGATCTTAGAATCAATCTTGTGAACCATCTCTTCCACCAAAAGTATTTGTTCGTCAACCCCCATCCCTGTTTGGAAGCCAGTCTGCTCTGAAGGAATAATCTTGGGTAGCAATTGTTGAATCCTGTCTGCAAGTATTCTAGTGTTTACTTTACTCATGAAGGTGGAGAGTGAAATGGGCCTATAGTCTCCAAAGCTCTTAGGATTATCAATCTTAGGGATCAAGGATAGAAAAGTACTACCATAACTCTTTGGCAGATTGATCCCAATGAAAAACTCCTGTGTAGCACTTATCACATCATTTTGAATTATATGCCATGCTGCCCTAAAGAAGGATCCATTGAACCCATCTGGGCCAGGAGCACTGTTAGGATTAATACTCCACACTGCCTCCCTAATCTCCTCTGCTGTTGGTATTTTGCTGAGCTTGGCATTGTCCTCCTGTGTAATCACTGTCTCCAGGTAATCAAGAACAGGAGCAGTAACAATATCTTTCTTAGAGTTGAAGAGATTGTTGTAGTAGTCAATAGCCATATTATGAATAACCTCTCTGTGTGCTCTTTCCCTTGGCTGTCCACAATCCTTCTGATTTGGTTTTTAGCTCTCCTACCCTTGACATATGCATGGAAAAAGTTGGAGTTACAATCTCCTTCATCCATCCACTTGATATTGGCTTATATATATATATATATATATATATATATATATATATATATATATATATATATATGTATGTATGTATGTATGTATGTATATATGTATATATATATGTATATAAAATTTGTTTTGTAAAAATATAATTATCATATAATTAAAATGAGATAAACAAAATATAATTTTAAAATACATATGTATTTTTTCGAAATACATATATGTATAAAATTATCACAACTATATATTTAATATTACTCCCACTAGTGTAGTATACTACTCCCTTACAAGTTCTAAGTGTGTGACCCTTTAGATATCCATAACACTGGCCTCGCAATGATATTAATATAAATTAATACCAAAGATAATAAGCGGTATCTAGCAACACATTATTACTCCCAGATTATGAAAAAAACGTTCATGTCATCAATACCTTCAATTCTACGACACAAGACGTTCTATAACTATTATCCTTCTATCCTAAATGTCATGATTTAACACAAGGCATGGGATGTGTATCCTTGTATAGTTAAATAAGGTGTTACAGAATCTCAAGTAGACTGGTAGGGATGAGATATTTATCAATCTCTAGATAGCGACATATCTGGGCATGGTCATGCACTTTCCCAAGTCTATACAGTAGAAGGGATTGATCCTATATCTGTTATTCACATCTCTAAATATGCTTAGGGGCATACCCAACACATAATTGTATGTCTACCGGTATTTCAGATATCATTAGTTATGAATCAAAGCATACGGCCCCACATATCAGAGAATGTAATAACTTCAAGTTTGAGGATAGTTACGTTATAGCAAAGCCGAATTGAGAATACTTATAAACACATTACTATAGATCCATGCAGTATTCTCAAGATGGGTCAATCCAGTCACATATTATCGATTTAATATGTACCTACGTACAGATTAAGATATCACAATACCTATAGTCTATGAGACGCAACTATCTCATCTCATACGTACTAGTCTTGATACGTTATGACGTTTGCATTATCATAAAGTGTGACTAGGGATATTCTAGACATAGTCTTCGTCAAGAAGTAACAGTCTCATAATCAGAGCATCGTAGTCCTCATCTATGTTACTAAAGCGCTATCGTTTATGGACTGAAGCTATGTTATGTTACACGAGATATAAAACATACTTCAAGGCCTTTCATTCATGATAAAGTGTACAGTTACATAGGTATTTGATTGCCTCTAGGGTACCTAAATACAAGAATCTCCCACTTGCCCTAAGGCCAATCAAGCATTTCTCGAATGCCCATGGATCACGTATGACTCTCGTGTTTAGGCTTTCCCAAAGCCTTCGTCAACGGATCCGTGATATTGTCGTCTGTACCTATCTTGCAAATCTCAACGTCCCCACGTGCAACGATTTCTCTTATGATGTGATAACATCTGATGATGTGTTTTGTCTTTTGGTGAGACCAAGGTTCTTTCACTTGTGCAATTGACCCATTGTTGTCGCAAAACAACGGTATAGGGTTTTTGATGCTAGGAACAACTACAAGCTCAGTAATAAAATTCTTGAGCCACATACCTTCCTTGGCTGCCTCGGCTACAGCCATGTACTCTGCTTCTGTAATGGAATCAACGGTACTATCTTGGTTGTAACTCTTCCAGGTAACAGCTCCGCCATTCAAACAAAACACAAACCCTACCTACGACTTGAAGTCATCTCTATCAGTCGGGAAGCTGGCATTAGTATATTTGACAATACTGAGCTCTTCTTTTCCGCCATATACCAGGAAGGCATCCTTAGTCCTACGAAAGTACTTAAGGATGTTCTTCACAGCCATCCAATGGCTTTCGCCGGGGTTGGACTGGTATCTACTCGTGACACTCAGAGCAAAGGTGACATCAAGTCTCGTACATACCATCGCATACATGATGGATCCAATGGCCGACGCATAATGAACATATCTCATGGGTTCTACTTCCTCTGGAGTAGAAGCATCCTGAGTCTTGGAAAGACTCGTGCCTTGGACCATAAGCAAACTTCCTCATTTAGATTCAGACATGCAAAATCTAGCGAGGACCTTATCTATGTATATACTTTGACTAAGACCTAAAAGCTTCAGTGATCTATCCCTATATATCTTTATGCCAAGTGCATAACTGGCATCTCCCAAGTCCTTCAGATAGAAACTCTTACTCAACCACATTTTGACGATGGTTAAAGTAGGAATATCGTTTCCTATGAGCAGTATGTCGTCAACATACAGAGCACGGAAGACTACAGCACTCCCACTGACCTTCTTGCATACACAAGATTCATCCAAATTTCTTTAAAAACCAAAGCCGATGATGGTTTTGTGAAAGCGAATGTTCCAACTCCGTGAGGCTTGCTTCAATCCGTAGATTGATCGCTGCAACTTGCATACCTTGGTAGATTCTTCAGGAGCGCAAAAACCTTCAGGTTGTGTCATAAAGATATCCTTAAGGAGGTTTTCATTAAGGAAAGCCGTTTTGATGTCCATCTTCCAGATTTCGTAATCGTGGTATGCCGCGATAAAAAGGGATCCGAATGGATTTAATCATGAAAACTGGAGAAAAAGTTTTATCATAGTCGATACTTTAACGCCCTGCGACCCAGTCTATTAGAATTTATTAATTAAATTAATTAATTACTAACTCGGAACGGGGTTGGGAAAAAAATAAAGTTTTCAGAAAAATTATTTGATCACGCCATAATGTTTGTCTCGACTGTCTGATTCTAGAAACACAAACAGATCTCAATTCAGACCCGTTCGAGGGAAAAACCACGTACCATTCAGGTCAAACTTTACACAACGGAGTAAAATAATAAGGAGATAACTCCCCATTTAATCCACACACCACACACACACGCACATTCACACACCCATTCATTTTCCATATTAACTCCCCTCATCATTTCTCATTACTCTCTTTAATATAAACCCCCTCCCCATTCATTTTCCCTTCAACATTATAACCCCCAACCATAACACACACTCTCTCCCTCTCCCTCCATTGCATTCGGCCAACCCACAGCAGCAGCCAGGCGAGGAGGTTTCTGGCAAGGAAATGAGGAAGGAAGAAGAGAAGAAGGTCTATGCGTGTGGTCGTTTGTTTGTTTGTCATTCGTCGTCGTCATTCGTTCATCCGTTTTCCGTTTCGTCAAACCCTGCATTAGAGGTGAGTACGTTGCCCTCTAACTTTAGAATTCATAGTTCAATCATATCGGTATATTCATAGGATTACCCGGCTAAATCTACGTGTGTCCGCATTATCATGGCTTTTCCGTTATTCAGACTTTTCGATTACAAACTTGTTAATATGAACGTTTGAAACCCCATAAATTTATAGATTACTTGACATGGAAACATAAACGTTCGTTACAAAAACTCCCAACGCATTGATTATAGGTAGAAAAACAAAATGAGGAACTGCATGCTCTGATGATTGATTGACAGGTCACGATAATCGATTATCAGGCCACGTTGAACTTCACAATTTAACATCAAAGTGTGACAACCGATTATCATATATGTGATAATTGATTATCAGACCCTGCGGATTCCTAGATCACAGTTGGGTCACATGATAATCGATTATCACAGAAGCAATAATCGATTATCAGGCCTCTCTGAACTTAGGATTTCCTGGACAAAACAACTTGACAATTGATTTTCATGAGGAGACCATCGACTATCACAGTCTGCGGAACTTTGGGAACAGAAGCTGCACAACATGATAATCGATTATCAACAATGGATAATAGATTATCAGTCAGTTCTGAACCCAGGGCCATCATGTTGAACAAATCATTTTCATACGGAATCAACCTATATGTCTGCATTGAACTCAACTTCATTTACAAGCAATGCATTCATATCATCATGTCTATCCTAGACACATGTTTAGGATCATGGCATACTTGCATACCGCGACAAGAGGTCAGGCCAAGTGCGCCTCTTCTGCGGGCCCATCCAGGAGTCTTCGAGATCCAACGGGTTTCATCAGGAGGGCTTGTGTACGTACATGGTAGCTAGGCTTTCAGCTATCACCCACATTTTCTAGTCTCCTTCAGGAAGACTAAGGCGTTCCTCGGCTCATCTACCGCGTGGAGATGATCACCGAAGGGCAGGGGGTTCTTGCACAATCTAACTCATGCATCATGGATTATTTGGCATTGCATCATTGTTTATTTGTACATTCTTATCGAACAAACTTGTATGTGGTATCTCGTACTTTATACAGGTACAATTATATGTTTATATCAATGTGAATGCACTATGCGTTCTACTGTTAGTTTACCACTCAACTTTTGCTGAGCGTATAGCGTTGTTTTCGCTATATGCAGGTAGGCAGGATGATCATGGAGCCTGACCCGGATGACTGGGAGATCGGGGTGGCGGACAAGCGACAATGTGAACCCGACTTATTCTCAAATTCATAATATAACTATTTTGGCTTGAACCCACCATTGTCGCACTTATTTTAAGACTTAACGTTTATTATTTACATTTACTTCCGCTATGATACATTTTTCTTAAGGGAATTTACTCCCATCATTTAATAAAGTTAATCAAGGGTTTTTCAGTTAAAAGAGCAACGCAAGGGTTTCCTTGTAGATGGTCCTACAAACCATCTACGCATACTCTCCGGCTCGTTGGGCCGTGGTGAACCGGGTTCACGGGATGGAGGGTGTTACAGATACCATGGATTTGACGATATCCTTTTGCTACCAATTGTGCTTTGAAGGTTTGTATCTTACCATCCATGTCAGTCTTCTATTTGAAGACCCATTTGCACCCAATGGGTTTGATCCCTTCGGGTGCATCAACCAAAGTCCATACTTGGTTAGTTTACATGGAATCCATTTCGAACTACATGGCTTGATGCCATTCATCAGCCTCGGGACAACTGATTGGCTCGAGGTAGGTCTCCTGCTCATCCTGGTCGATAAGCATTCCTTTCAGGTTGTGTGCGTAATCGGTTAGACCTACGGGGTTCTTGTGTATCTTGAGCATTTTGAGGTACAACGGTTTGTTCCTCTAGCTCATGTTCCTGAACCGGCGCGGTAGTTTCTTCTTCTTCTCGAATTTCTTCGAGCTCTATCTTTCTCCCACTAGTTGCATTGGAGAGAAATTCCTTCTCGCGGATGACACCATTGCGAGCGACGAATACCTTCTTATCGATCAATAGGGTGATAGAATGAATACCCTCGAGTTTCCTTGGAGTATCCCACGAAGAAACACTTATTAGACTTGGTATCAAGCTTGCCATTCGTCATAAGACGTTTGACAAAAGCCTCACAACCCCAAATCTTTAAGTGTGATAGAACCGGGCATTTGCCCGTCCATAGCTGGTATGGTGTTCCTTCAACCCCCTTGGTCGGAACTCGATTAAGAGTATATATTGCTGTGCTCAGCGCAGGGCATACCCCCAGAATGATTCTGGTAGAGTCAAATGACCCATAAAATGACCCATCATCAGCGCAGGGCATACCCCCAGGGATCATAGTGTTTTAATACTTTTGCCAAGTTGTTTTTCAACTTCATTCCTGAATTCTTTGAACATTTCAAAGGATTCTGACTTTTGTTTCATGAGTTACACATAGCCATATCTACTGAGGTCTTCTATTATTATTATTATTATTATTATTATTATTATTATTATTATTATTATTATTATTATTATTTACATGGTATTTATCACTATTAGAGTCATAGTTTTAAAAACCGGACCAGACCGGCCGGTTCGGACTGTGAACCGGTGGTCCAACCGGTCCGGTCCGGTCCATTGGACCGTAACCTGCTTCGAACTGGCCCGAACCGGTTTGAACCGGTAAGAACCGACCGGTCGGACCGGTCCGCCCAGTTTTTTTTTTTTTTTTTGATGATTTTTTCCAAAACATGCCTCCATGGGGGTTTGAACTCAAGACCTCTTTAAAGGTTTGGTTGAGCTCCTAACCATCCAAGCAATGGTGCTTTTTGTTACAAGTTCACATAATCTTTTATAATATTTCATAATTACAAAAAAGATTGTATATGAATTCCTTTTCAATTTTATAAATATAATATATATAGCTATGAGTCAAATACAAAATCATTGATATTATTCATACTATTACAAAATGCAAATCATGCAAAGATTTCTTTTTTTTAATATTAAACAACTTATTTGAAAAAAATAAAATCAACTCTTCATTTAAAATTCTTTTATATTTTTTTAATATGTAAACTTTATTTTTTAATTTTATAAAATAACTCAAGTATATTAATATAATATTACTTAAATGTTATAAAATACTTTCTTTAGATATTTATAAATTAGAATGTGTGTGTGTCTATATGTATGTATGTATGTGTGTGTAAATATATATACATATACATATATACATACACACACACACAGATATATATATATATATATATATATATATAAAATTTTTAAATATGTTTAAACCACCGGTTCGACCAGTTGAACCACAGGTTCGACAAGTAAACCAGTGAACCAGTACCTTGACCGGTTCGGTCACCGGTCCGGTTCTGAAAACTATGATTAGAGTTTCTAAATAATTACTAATTAATTCTAAATAATAATAATAACAACCATAATAATAATAATAATAATAATAATAATAATAATAATAATAATAATTTAGAGGATTATTCTAGAGCCACTCTCTATGAGTATTATCTTCAGATAACACCCGTTTCAATTGAGATACCTACGACGCTTTATTCGCAAAAGTGATGGTTTCTAACTTTCAACATCGTGGTAAACCCTCCCACTTAAAAGCAAATTTTGGCATTTTTATTTGAGTAGAGTATAAGTTCAGGTATGGCTTCATATTATCTTCCTTAAGACTTTAGTTTCTTTAGAAAGCCATTTATGTTCATTTATTGAGTTTCTGGCTATTCTTGTTTCTAGTGTTCACTTTCCTCAACAATTGAAAACTTCTACTTTTCTATACTTAATTGAAAAGTAATCGAATCATACTCCGTTTAATTATATTATCATGATTGTTCAAGTTTAGATGCTTGCAC